GAAAAATGCAGGATGGAGCGATACCTGAACCCAGTGACGATATTTTGGCCGGTGGCCACTTATGCTCGCTTGTCCGCGTGTCAAAGGCGGGAGGGGATGCAGTCACCGGGGCTTCGAATACAAGGGTTGGCTCGGCGGGTTCTGCAGGCGACCGCGGCTGAACCTGTCCGAGTACTTGTAGCCCTTAAGCCCTTAGGCTCTTTGGGGCTTTGCTGGCTCCTAGGCTGCTAGCCTCCGAGGCTGGCTAGGCTATCGGGCGACCCCCCTCTCCTCCCTCCTCCAACGAGAATTGTCGGGCACTGCCTCCACCATCAAACTCCAAACTGTGCTCCTCGTTTCTCTTGGCGTCTGGCTTCAATACCTGCGCGGCCTTTTTTGGTCTCCTACTCATCCCACTCCGCTTCGACTCCTCTTTCTCGCCTCTCACCAATCGCCATCTTTTCACAAACCACCTTCAAATCCTATTTGGTGCTATTCAACTGCATCACCCGGACTGGCGTCTTTCCTGTCTCTACTTAGCGTTTCTTTGCCCATCGTTGGCACCACCAAGGGCATCCGTTCCTTAACCCTTTCCGAATACTCCTGACCTGTTCGCATCTTATCCACCACGCACTACTCATCGAGTCGAAGACCTGGTGTGGGAAAAACCAAAAACTTCACATACGAGATGTGACTTGATTGGGGGGAACGGTGGCTTCTCTTTCTCACCCGACGTACTTTTCAGACGTGACCCTCTGGTGCTGAGAACTCACTCACTCACTTCACCCATCCATTCCCTCCCCCTCTCATTTCCTGATTTGTCAACCGCAAACCGACCCCATTTCCATCAACAATTTTGGTCGCTAATGCTTGGGCTTCTAGCGTTCGCGCTCATCGTGGGAGTCACCATATCAGCAACATCCTCGAAATTTCCCCCAACCTCCTCAGCGCTCACCGACTGTGCATGATCCGATGGATCCCGAATCTTCCGACAGCGATGTCTCTGTTGGCGGAGGCGATGAATATCGATTCGCCGGCCCGTTGACCGCGCCGATTCCTCTGCCGCCGCCAGCATCAAAACACGCCTTGGAATCTTCCGATGCCGTTCAAGCACGTCTCGATGAACTCCAGCGCGTCGAGGACCACAACGTCAAGAAATATGATTTGCTCAGGGCCAAGCGCGCTCGAAAAGACGACAAAATCCGTCGCAGACGAGAATTTCAAGACAAGAAATGGGCTCTCATTATGGAAGCTCGTCAACGCAGGGATGCCAGAATTGAGGCACGCCGAAGGAGAGAGGATGCCGCTTTCGTCCAGTTTGATCATGAGCTGGAGGATGAAGAAAATGTAAGTTCTGATTGGGTGGGCGGGCGTGGAGTCGATAGGGCTAATGGGTCTCCAGAATCTCCGACGCCGGCTGAAACGACTCAAACGTGGACTACCACCCGACGACTCACCAGTACCAGGAGGCCGCAGCATATCCTCATCGTCTATGTCGCCGCCAGGTCCCGCGCTCTCGACCCTTCCCCCGCCTCCCAAGCGTCACCAGGTTGGTCCTCCAGGCCAGCCTGATGCCATTAATCCAGTTCAGTCGAGACCAGCGCCGCAACCGAACCTAGCACCACCAGCAAAGAGCACTCTGCCCGCTCCCTCCTACTCCTTCTACCGCGACTCGAGTTCAGCCTACTCACGTCCGTACCACCATTCATCGTACTCGACTACTCCAACCAATGGACCCCCACCCATGACGACCAACGGGTCAGGTCATGGCCCTCCACCCCCTGCTGAACGGCCGCAACTGAACCATGTAGGACGGCCGGCTTCCCCTCTGCAGCGACCTATTCCCAGCACCCAGTCACCTGTGACACCAGCAACAAACCCCAATCCACCGAGACAGATCTATGACACCCGCCCACCACCACCGACCACGTCTTCTGGATTCGCTTCCATCAACCCGCCACCGGCATCGGGATTTGCCACTATCAATGCAAGGACGGCCGCAACTCCACCCGCGCCTCACGTTCCCTTGTCGAGACCCTTGAATGATTCAGATCCAAACAGGACTCCCAATCATCCAGCCAACAATGGAGTCGAATCGAATCATTTCCATTCTTATCCTGGTGCTCCGAACACCTCCAACTCGACGCCGCAGACCGGGAGTGCCAGCAAACGTACACCCTCAACAACTCATCCGTACCAAATGTCCGAGGCATTTGCCAACCGACACCACCACTGCGAAAGAGTCGACACCTTGAACCGTGGCGTCTGGACGTCGTATGGGCCGGGAGGCACAGCAGAGCATCCGACGGGTCCAGCAGTTGAGATGTACCTTCGCTGCAATCACGATGGGTGTTCCCGTATTGATTGGCGCACGGTGCATGGTCTGCAATGTCACATTGTTAAGAACCACGATCAGCCGAAAGGCACCATTGGTAGTCTTGACAAGGCGTTGGAGAGATACGGCGTCCCAGTTAAAGAGGTCGAGGAGTTTGAATTCCGCCACGGCCGAGGCACTGCAGGAACAATGGCAGATCCAAAGAACTTGAAGATGAAGCTTAAGACAAAGGTCCAGAGTTTTGGGAGAGTTGGTACCCCGGGGTCTTTCAGTGTCGACCCTGAGGCGAGACCGGCCGGCTACAGACCTAGCCCGGCTGCCACCGACGATAGTCCCACCATGTCAGAGGGTCTCAAAAGAAGTCCAGACACAGCCACGACAAACGGCTCTCAAAATCGTGCCGCGGGCAACGAGAACGGGGGACAATCCACCCCGCAAACGGCTACTAGCTCTCCTGCAACAACGCATACGGCTGCCCGATCTGGTTGGATGGGCGTAAATGCGCCGTCGGCACCGGCAACTGTCGAACCGGAACCCAAACGTCTGCAAGGGGATTTTAGTTCGATCGACGCTCCAAGCAACGAGGACTCCACCAATGCTCAATCAACACCTTCTGGAGCGGCTCTACCGACACCTACATCTACCATCCACGTTGTCACTTCACGACCTCAGTCCAGAGACACCATCACAATCGTGGGAACTGGGACTACTTCTCCTCACCAGCAACCCTCGAATGCACCAGTTAGACCTGAACCTCCAGCTTCCTCGCCTCAAGCCCAGCCAAATCAAGTTAAGAGAGAAGAGGATAAACAGGAGGCGCAGCTTACGGGTCAAGAGCCGTCAAACCGGAAAGACAAGGACCAAGATGTTCAGATGACAGGAACTGCCGAGGACGATCAGGCGAAGGCAAATGAGATTCGGGTAAATGGTACCAACAATGTCGAGAAGAATGGCGCACCTGAAAAGGTGGCACACGCACCAGATTTGGCGACAGAACAATCCGATGTCATTGAGATAGATGGGGGGGCCTCCAAGGATGCTAGCACAGTGACTATCCGGCGATCCACTATCCAATCTCCCACGATTACGACAAGGTCTCTGACCGCGACCACACCTGGCAGCGCACGCCGACCCAGTCGACGCTCTAGTGCTGCGAGGAAGTCGGTGGATACTGAGGGGGACACCAGTAGGCCTGCGAAGAACGAGAGCGACGACAAAGAAAAGGACGACAAAGACGGCAGAGATGAGAAAACGGAGAAGGAGAATACTCGGCTGGAACCGCGGCGATCATTGACTGGACGAATCCTACGTCGGGGGAGGTTCTAGTGCGAGGTCCTAGGCAATTCTCTTCAACACGAGAAGTCTCAGACGAACGAACCTGGCGAGACGGCAGATGTTGTGAGCTCAGCCTCGGGCTGGTGCAATCAATGAGCCTTGCAGATACTTCATTCACGAATCGTGACCGAGTGGATGGAAAGGGGGATTTTGTGCAGCAGCCATCGGAGGGCGGATTTATGGCAACATGGGTTTTCGAGGGCACGAGGACAGGTACTTCGACTGTTCGTTCGGCTCGATATGATGTTCGGGATTGGGGAGGTATGGGTGGAAACACGGATTATTGTCCGGGTTTCCTGGGGGGGACTAATTGGCTGGGCGTGGATTGCTTCGTTTGTTTGATGCTTTGAAGATTTGCCATGCATGCGTTGAGCAAATTGAGACCGACACTGAGATCGAGACGGGCGTGGGTTTGTTTTGATTTGTTTGGCCTTTGCAGAGGATCACCGGACTCGTCAAGGGCATCCCTTATTAATTTGACTGTTGGTATGTGAAACATTCACTATTACTTGATTATGAATGGTATCATGCATTGCAAGTGCAACAAGGCTGCCGATAAAGGAAGCTTCATTCATTCCTATTTCTCCTGTTTGTCTTTTACAGTGTGTAGAATATGATTTTCGCCTCTTGGGATTAATTGCTTGGGTAATAAAATTCAAAGAGGCGCCACTATCCTGTCTCTACGCACACTCACATACCGAGAAGGCTTATTTAGCGATTGGGCGATCCGGTAAGAGGTACTCAGTAAGAGAGAGGTACGTCGTCAAGCTCATCCATACTCGGGATGTGCGTGTAGTGAGAACGTAGGTGTAGTCGTATAGAGGCTGACTGCACGACCCACCTCATCCAACCTACAAACACCGTGTGTACCGTGGACCGTTCAACAGTATACTGTGCACAGTGTCCGGATCGGAGATCCAAAAGAAGAGAGGAGAAGACACAGGGCAGAGATGACGAAAGACAGTGGAACGCAGAATACAGTGGGAGATGTCAGAGAGGTCCGCTCTCACCAGGTTTCTGCCCTTCCGGTTCTGCCAGGCGTTGGTGGTGGTCCTGTTGCCGTTGGTTGGCGACAAGTGAGTTGGGCAAGAGGACATGGAGTGCCCTGCATGAGCCACGCCATGTGAAGACTGGTTGCTTGTACATTTTCCGTGGGCATTTTCCGTGGGTGTTCCAGCGTCCGAATCTGTTGCAACTCTGCGCCGCGTCTGTGTGTGCGTGTGTGTGTGTGTGTGTGAGTGAGAGAGAGAGAGAGAGAGAGAAATGAATTCAATTCCATGCTTTTCCTCCGCAATCGGAATACCATTCCATTCCACTGCATTTTTATTTATTTGATCTGATTTTACCTGAATCATCGAATCACACCCCCTACGCCCGCCCAACCCAACACGAACCCACTCAGAGCCTCCGTGAACAGTCCTCCCCCGAACCAGATCTCGCGCCACGCTCCCGACCCCTCGTTCCTCCCGCCTTTGGGGGAGTCGTTCAGGCCCCTCGACCCGGCCGTGCCGGCAAAGTACTTTTGCGGCGAAGCGCCCGCGAGGAGGAAGTAGAAGAGCGCCGAGATCAGGGTGTTGCACGCGAGGTAGAAGCCGAAGCCGGTTAGGGACTCGAGGCCCAGGATGCCGGCGGCGATGCCGAGGAGGAGGCCTGCGATAGAGCGGATATTGGAGAGGGTCTGGTTTTTTGGCGGGAGAGAAGGATGTTAGTCGGTCCATACTTGTGCGGTGGTCCTTTTCCAGGGGGGCGGGGGCGAGGGAGCGGAGTGTAGGAAGAAAGAGGAAATGAGAAGAAGAGAGAACAGACGTACCCGCGTATTGTGTGTAAGTGACTCTGGGACCAAGGGGTCCAGGAACATGGACAGTTCTTGCGGTGATGGCGCCATGGTGTACGATTGAGCGATTGAGATGCGCTCGACTCTCGACTCTTGAATTGTATGACACTTGCGCTCTCTAACCAAGGGCGAAGCTTTTGGGAAGAGCTTCTAGGACTCGTGCTCGTTGACTAGGTTCGGTACGTAGTATGGAGGTGGTGGTGGGTGTAGAAGTTGACGTTGGAAACTCTGCAAACAAGGCTGTTGGACGAGGACCTTGACGTGCAGTGGATTTTCAGTCGCTATCAAAGATACACACCAACGCGGCTTAGAGGGTCCAGTTCAGTGCGGAGTGGGTCTCGGCTCATTCCCTTGCATCCCATCTCATCTCATCCACTGCAGTCCACTACCATCCCACTACATACCACCCATTCCATGTCGAAACTTGTCCACCACTACCGCGTCGAGATGTGAGGTATAAAGTGTCTATACATCTATGGTGATTATTGACCGATCGAGTGCATACGTAGCAATCGTAGCAAGATTCTCTCTCTCTCTCTCTCTCTCTCTCTCTCTCTCTCTCTTTCTCTCTGAGCGCAGCCAACGGAGGCGGAACTCATGGCCCAAAGAACATCAAGCAGAGGAGCAGCGCAGAAATGAACCCTCCCCTTCTAACCATCTCACAAGAAAACTACAGAGTACTCACGCCTAGATGAGTCCCCTGACTCTTGCAAAGCCACGAGAACATCAAGCCCGTACAATCGCTTCTTCTGGGCCTAGTTGTGTGCATGTTCTACATAGAAGATTCGTAGGTGGTATGGGTTATCTCGTCACGCTATATAGAAAAGACGTCGAGTCATCACGCCATCCATGGTCAGTCTTGGTCGAAAAGAACTGGAAATTACTAGGGTCCTGCCTGGCCCGACCAAACGAGGTGGACGAAATTCGTTCGGCCGGCCTTTTGGTGGTGGCGACTACACCAGCAGCCGCTCACTCGAGATTCTGATCCTGTCAAAATGCCAATCCGTCGCAGAACCAAGCCGACGATCGAGGGTTTCAGAGCATGAAACAAGCTCCAGTATTCCCTCGTTCGTCGCCCCGGAACAGTTCCTCGCCAGTCAAGCACAGCGCCCATGTCTCCAATGTTTACAAAGTTCAGAAAAACAAAGCCGCACGTCGGGCGGATAGCAGATGATGACCTGTGTGGCCACCACGGAAACTGCCATTCTACAGCTTCCCTTCCGCTTGGGCTTCTCTGACTTGCTCAAACACCTACAATGAAATTAGTCGTCATCGCCCCTATTTGACAAGTCCATCCACTCACCTTGAGCATCTTGTTCCTCGCTCCCAGAGCATTCACACCACGTGCTTCCAAGCCCTTATCATCAAGCTGTATCAATTCCTCCCATTTCAGGTCCTTCAGGTTGTCGGTGTATTTGTGTAACCTCAACGATCGGAGCCATGTCGGGATATCTTTCAGCAGATTGGGGTCAGTGGGATCCTCAGGAGGTTTGGAGCTCCCACGGCGTCCTCTGGGCGACCTGCCCCGGGTGATGTCCGAGTGATCGGAGAGATACCCTTCGCCGCCCCCACCAAATATGCCTGTTTGCGGGACTAGCCCCGGCATACCTGCACCGATCATGATGGGTGCGCCATCATATGCAGCCAAGAATCCGTTGTGTTGAGGAGACGCAAACGCGGTTTGACTGAGAGGCGTCTGTAATGGAAGTCCAGGAGAATTAGGTCGAGATCGGCGTCCTTGTGCAGCGGCGATCTGCTGCGCTTGAATGGCGGCAACTTGTTGAGCATTGAGGATTTGGCCGTGATCATTTACCATGATAGTATTGATGCCCGGGATGCCAGAAGCTGCAAGCCCGGGGGTCAGCGGTGGTTGCGTCGGTGGCTGAGGTTCGTTAGACCGAGCACGACGAAATTTCTTGACGTCGTCCAGGGCAATCCTGTTGTTGACCGTGGACAAGGCGGCGAGTTTCATGGCGGTAGCGTTGGCCACCATTTCGGTATGGGATTGAGCTTGGCTGAAGTTCGGGACCATGGGGGTATTGGTCATCGAAGCCCAACTCTGGTTGCCCACGTTATAAGGAGACAGAAGGGGCATATCGCTAGATACCGGATCCGGAGCGGTCAATGTAGTGCTCTGAATATTACCGCCCGAGCCGCCCAGAGGACGCGGAGAACGAAGGCCACCAGACGATGCAGGTTGACTAAATTGGCCCATTGGCTGATGCTGCCCCTGTTGGCCGGATGATGACTTGGGTCTCGATATCGGAGGCTGTTGAGTATCTCCACCGCCCTGCCGCCAGCTCATGGCATCTGCCTTGGACTCTCTCGGAGCAGCTATAGTGGGCGCCACTAGGGAACTGCGGTCTCCTACAACCGTACTGTTTCTGTTGGAAGGGTGCGGGTTGCCTGTTTGTTGCGCGTATTCGGCCTTTTGCTGCTGAATTGCGGCGACAGCGTCCGGAAACATTGCATGTATGGTGGATTGATCCAAGCCCGAATTGCGCTTGTTGCCGGCTGGGGAGACTGGTGGTCGAGTCAGAGAAGTCCTCCGATCGTCCACATTCAACTTGGACATGGCGTCGCTCAGCCGGTTGGACATTGCGTCCTTTTCCCCAAAATTGGCTGGGGAGAGGACGCCCGAAATCGGATGGCTTTTGGACATCTGGTTCAGAACCTGAGCAAAGAATCGTTGCTGCATTTGCGTGGTCTGCTGGATGAGGGCGTATGTGGCAGCAGTGCGCTCCGCCTCGCTCAGGACTTGAAACCATTGTTCAATCGCGCTCAACTCGTCTTTGAAGTCCTGATCCAGTGTCGCCGCAGCCATCTCTTCCAACATTGTTTCATATTGTTCAATATCCTGAATCCACTGCTCTCCCAACTTGCTTGAATCGTCCATGCTGCCTTGTTGAGATTGTTGGTTGTATAAGACTTCAGAGGCTGGGCGTATGGAACGTGACGAGAGAGGAGAGGCGAAAGACATGTCAGCTGAAGTCCGGACGGCTTGAGTATGGGTACCGGATGTGCCGATAGTCCGGGAGCTGGGGGGCCGAAGAGATGTTTTGGACGCCTCCGGGGTGCTATTCCTGTTGCCGATGATGTTGCTGGCCATGGTAGCTTCGTAGCTTTTTGTAAAGCCCGGGCTTCGGAGGCTGCGTAGGACAAAGTGCCCTGGTGGTGACGAATTGATGGTTCGAAGCGAACAAAGGTCAGTGGTGGAAGGAGACTGAGACGGTCGCACAGACAGATCTAACAGATCATTGGGTTTACAGCGTGTAGAGGAGCCGATTGGATCCAGCCCAAGGGCAATGATGAATGAGGGTGGAAAAAGGAATGTCGAGAACACGCTTCCAACGCAGTAAATGGCTGAAGCAAAGATGTGAGGCAGCGCTATTTGGTGGAGGTGGCGGTTCGAGGTGTCTCAGACACGACGATGAGAGCGGGGGGGGGATGCGATTAAGCTACAGTTAAGAGACGCGCAGGAAGCAGGCGACAGATAGCATGGGAAAAGGCAGAGAAGTCGAGATCCGTCAAAAAGAATACACTCCCTAACAGGCGAATGAAGGTAGAGAGTACACCGAGGGACCAGGAGAAAAAAATTGAGTCGAGCTGAAATAATAAGACAGGATAGAGTTGAAGTTCGCGAGAGTGGAACCGACAAAGCAGCAAGGCTTACCCGTGCCTCCATACAATAATTCCTCCTTGGTAGGGATATAGAAGCTCGTTCGTCCAGGGCGGGAGCAGGGCGGGAAGAGGACGGAGCCCCAATTAGCAGCTCGCCTAACCAGGAACACTTGGCTCTTGACTGACACCCAGCAGCGACAAGAGGGAACCCCCAGTCCAGGGACGTGAGGCCTGGAAGGAGCTGAAAGAGCTTGGGTTCGTTTCCACCATAGTCATAAGGGCAAAAGGGTTTGATGGGCGACGCCCCTAGCCTCCGAATAGCGGCTGTAGTGGAAGCTCGTTAAAGGGGGAGTGCCGTGGGCGGTGGACAGGCCATGAAATTTGTCTGAGAACCGCTTACGCCTCGTATGGCTTCACCGCCAACCAACAACCAACCCTCGAAGCCCAAGGACTCGTACCTACGTGCCTGCACACCGGTGCACCTGTACACCTGTACGAGGTACAAATGCGCCATCGTATCGAGTTACTCTGTCACCCAACACCACCTGCGCCTCACTGTGGCGCTCTAGCCTCTACATTTCCCCATTGGCCTGCAGTGCAGCAGATCTGACGAACCGTCGCAGGACTCTGGTCAAGCTGAACAGATGCCCGGTACCTGCTGGTGGCAACGCAGTTTGATCCCACAATTCTGTACCGGTAGTATTTGACCCAGCTGCTCCTAGGGAGGCGCTGACGTAGAAGATCAACGCCACGGATATTCACCCTGCTGCGAATAAGAGTCTTGTCAATTTGTGACTGAGATGATCTTCAGACAAGAGTCTCTTGGGTTTTTACAACAGTAGAGCAACCGCAATGGATCGGCGAATACTTCATCCTCATTGAGCAGTCTCACATTTTTTTTTGGCACGCTTTGGTGGACCTCAATCAACCACATAGCCCCTTTTTCTTGCGTACTCATCCATGCTAACACTCTGCCCTCGAATCCCCAATGACTTCACTTGCACCAACATTATGACATGCCTTTGATCCTGGATCGAAACTTGCATTTTCTTGAGAAAGGGAGGAAAGAGACGTGGTGTGTGGGAGCCATGGCCCTACGTCCCTCCGATCGCCCAAGTCTCTCTTCAACAGATTGAGGATGTCACCGCGTTTTCCAAACATGACCGAATTCCATACCAGGCCGACACGTCCGAATCAGTTGTCGTGCCAATTGTCCGCACACACCCTTCCCATATCGTACAAATGTGTCTCTGTAAATCCAATATGGCTGGCAGGTTGACGTTTATCGGCCTGGCAGCTGTCCGGATTGCATCATGGCAGCATTCTGCTCTTGAAACCTGGCCCCTAATCTCTCCGAGCCTTTCAGGAATTTATCCACGCAGCGCATCACACAGCCTTCTTCTCTCGAGATCAGTGACTTTGTTGTGAAATCGTTGACACAATCGTCAAAACACCGTTGGACGAGGTTGGAATAGGTCTAGCATGGAGCCCAGGTTAGGTCAGATCAACCGTCAAAAGGGAAAATCTGTGTCATGGCATGGGCTGTAGTAATCCTTACCTTCATGAATTCTTTCAGCTGCTTTGCCTCCATACGAGCATTGAGCTCCCTCTGTTCGGCGGGAGTGAGGCTAAGACGACGTCAGCGAGTCCACGCGAAGACGATTGCAACAAGAGACCAACCTGTCCATTGTGACGGAAATAGAGATGTAGATAAGAGAACTGGTTATCAAAATGCAATATTGCAGAGAAGAGGAAGTCGCCTAAACTCGCCTGCCGCGAAGCAGAAATTCGATCCCGGCAGACTTTCCCTTTACCATCTGCTGATCTGTGGAGCAAGTTTGGGCTTAGTTTTTTTGTTGTCTTTTCCTGTCGTCCTCAAAGCCATCAACCTATCCGTTGGCTTTACGGCTTTATGGCTTTACGGCTTTACTCCCATGCATCTATTTTTCATCCGACATGGAGAGACAGAGCATAATGTTGCTGGGCTTCTTGCAGGGGTCTCTGACTCCAGGTTGACCAACCATGGTGTCCTGCAGACCCAACGACTGGGTCATTATCTCACCACTCACCGTAACTTGAGGTTTACCAAAATCTACGCGTCGGATCTTCAACGAGCTTTCATGACCGCTGAAGAGCTTCACAGAAACCAAGCCGCAAAGCTCTCCGCCGAAGTTGTCCCCAAAGTCGTGAAACTCGAACTGCTTCGTGAGCAGGACTTTGGCTCATTGGAGCTCGTTCCATGGAACTCGAGGAGAGTGCTGCAGCATCTCGACCCCGGGGTACTTAACCCCAAACATGAATCTTTTCGCCCTCAGGAGACGACCGAGACTATGGTGAGAAGGGCGGAATCGTTTCTGGACGACTTCATCCTCCCACACTTTGCCCGTGGTGCATTGGATGCCACAACGGCAACGCAGGAATGCGTTGCGGTCGTTTCTCATGGCCTCTTTTTATCTGTGCTGTGGCGGACACTGCTGAGAAAATTTAACAGCAACACTGTTGCGCTAGCGCCGAAGGTCGAGGCTTGGGGTGTCCGCTCCTTGGAACACCTGCCATCGTGGACCAACACCGGATTTTTGGAACTTACAATCGAGAGACCCTCGTCCGAACTTGCCCATCAATCTCAGGTGGCACAGCCTTTGGCATCGACGGACATCCCTTCATACCCGCTTAAGGGATGTTCCATGACCATTCACGGCATTAACAGTAAAGATCACCTCCAAGATCTGAAGCGTACAAGAGGCGGGCTGGGATCGTCTCCCTATGATGCAAAGCAACAGACTCTGGATGGCTTCTTCAAGCGACCTTCAGGTGACCGCGGCTCTATCACATGAACCCCAATTTGGAGAGACATGCCTGCCAAGTGCGAAGGAAATGGGGTTAGCATGCGCCCCTTCCGATCTTTGACCACTTGAGAGAAGTTGCTACTGAAGACTGTTGAGAAGTGGAGGTAAGCCACCCCCATTCTATTGTGACATGCCCGTTCCATATCTGCCTGATGAAGCACAATTTCACACAGACCTGTTCTGAAACTCGTTGTGGAAGCATAAATTGTACCAACTGCTGTCTGATCGCAGTGTCGTTCCTGTGTCAATTATTCAAGGGGATGCAAAGAACACGACTAACGGTTGTTTTCGCAGGAGAGCCTTTGGTCTCACCACTGATATACCGAAACGGTACACAATCACTGCCTGGGCACTGTGGGTTTCGCGTTCGGTGCCCCATCCAGTCGGCTTTGCGCCGCCGCGCTTCTTCCATGTACTTGTATGCGATCCAAATGTAGACAGATTATTCGACGTATAACCGGCATTAGGAAACGGTTGAATACTTATTCCGAAGATCATATCAGGCAGGGTCAACCTCGTCCGTAGGCCCAAAATAGAGCGACAGAGCCTTCAACACCAGTATGTGATGAGAGAGGATTGTGATGCATGTCTCGACAAGGATTGGAGGCGCATGACCTCGAACATGACCATGGGACCACGCGAGCATCTCTTGAGAGAGTGATTGGCCGTTACAACACGCGTTGTTCTAGACCAAGTCAGGGCGCTGATCAGGGGGTTGTCACCCTGTCATCTTTGTCTCTGCTCTCCAAAAGCATCTTGTTTCCCTGATTCATTCGTCTTTTCTCTTTTATCCCCAGGAACCGAGTACTTCTGAGATCTCTAGATACATCAGGCCCGTTTATTCTGGTGCTTGGAAGGACCTCCTGTCTTAGCCATCTGTTTTGGTTCGTTTCGTCTCCCTGCTCGCCCGGAAACAAATCCAGCAGATCAGATCCTCCCTTGATGGGTCATGGTGACGGAACGCCTTGAGACGCCCGCTGCGCCACATGCTGGCCGCCCGTTACTAATAATTCCTCCCATTATTGACGCAAGACACCAATCCCACCAAGTCTTGGAAGGGGGGTTGCGGCCGCCTTCACCACCACGTTTTATATTTGTGTCCTTTTTTCCCCATCTGCAGCCTTACCACTGCAGAGAGAAGTACCTTGTACATTGGCATGCATGACTTATGGTTGAACCATCTACCTACTCGTCTCGCGCAAGTCTTTTGGGTGTTTTTAAAAAGAAATGTGGTTTTCCATTTCGAGACACAGCGACCAGGACAACGACAAAAGGGAGAGTCGCCAAGAACACACCTCCCTCCCTCCCTCCCTTCCACTTGGTTCGAAAGCACAAGGTACCCAAAGCCCACCGCTAAGATTACACGAGATGCTCTTCCTCACTGAATCACGCACTCAAAGTCATCCCGTAACCCACGAAGAGAGCTTTCCGCGGGGCTCTATTCATCGTGACGGTGAGCAAAGCGGCTCCTGCCCATGATTATTTAACATGCCATCCATTACTATTGCAAAAAGAAAAACCGCATCCCCAAAATGAAACTCGCTGGCGAGGGGAAGAAGTGAAGAGGGAGATGGTAAATCGGTGAGTAACGTCCCACTAGGAAGAAGAGGAAGAAAAAGAAAAAGCCCCCTTTTCCTAGCTCCAAACCTCGGTTGTTCATCTGCTCCTCGAGAGAAAAAAACCCATCTGAATATGTCCTCGCTCGAAATATGGAGGAAATCCCGAGTCACTGAACCAAACGCCTTCGCCGGAGCTTGAAAGAAAACAGTACCCGACAGGATCCAATGCGATGCGTGGGTAGGCGAGCCCAGCCCAGCCACAGCCACAGTCGTGCCTAGGCCGCCTTTCCAAGCTTGAAATGAGCTCTCTTGTTGCTCAGAATCGTTCCTCGTTTCCCTTTTTTTTTTTTCTTTTTTTCTTTTTTTTTTTTTTTGCAACTTCGTTCACCTGCGCAACTTCGGCAAGGGTGTGAAGCGTCACATATAACTGTGTGCTCGGACCATGGTTCGAGTGGCATCGAGTCGACGTCTTTCTTGCCTCCGTCCGGCATTCATCGTATAGGGCTCGTTCTGGTATCCCATTGACAAGGCGAGGTGAGCTCTGACGGCTGCTGGTGGCGATGCTGAGGGGGCATGCGGTAACTCTGCCATGTGGACAACTTGTCGTCTCGACGTGCCGGCAGCGCCAGGGAGGATGGTCTGGTAAGGGAGTAACTGGGTTCTCTTGAACTGTTGATCATTGATGATCCTTCGGTTGTACATCCACTTCATCAGGCCAAAGTCGGTCCTCACCGTCGCCAGCTGTTGGCCCTGCCGAAAGTGGTCGTGCACCATATGGGACAGCATGGTGTTCCACGCCAACGCCGGATCGTCCTCGGGCCGCGAGACGTACTTGTTGTCGCACAGGAAACAGGTGGCAAAGGTCGGCAATTCATGTCCGCGGAAGTGCGAAAACACATGCATCTTGAAGTGGATGATGTCTGCAAACACCTGATCGCAGTCCAGGATCTGGAACGGACAGAGCAGATCGGCGTCCTCGTGATATCGGAACGGCACCGTTAACACACCATCTTCTGATTCCAGCATGTAGCCATCTCCGAGTATGCTACTGGCCATATCTGTGTCTGCCGAAGACGCCCCAGATGAGTCGGTCGAAGTCTCACTGGTCAAGGGTGGTACTGCATCTGTGGTGGTCGTGGTGGCGGCTGTGGATGCCGTGGATGCAGCGTCGTCATCCTGAATGACCTGCACCGCGGTGGCGGATCTGGTGCCCGTGTTTCTGGAATACATGAGGCTGCGAAACAACCCCGGAACCTCTTTGTCTGGCTTGTTGGGCGAGGTTTTGGGACTGGTCAGACCTGACGCTACGAGCTGAACAGGTGTGCCCGGAATCGATTTACAACCGCATCGAGGCTGGATCGTGGACATGGAGAGAAATTTGACACACTGGCGGCGGACAGTCCTGCCTTTGAGTGAGCATGGCATCACACGCAAAAGCCGGCCTCTTCCACGATGGTGGGTGATTAATTGGGTGGCGTGGTGTGGACTTACCAGAATCATGATGTCGGCATGGGCATTGGCATTGGGGAGGTTGCCGGCGCTGGAAGTCACGCTATCGATAAGCCTAATCGGGCGTGAAATGGGTGCGGGGAGGGGGAGAGGGAGGGGCGGGCGCCCGGCGCGTGTCGTACGAGGGTTTTGTACTGTACCCAGTACCTTTCGTATCTTCTTATTTTTTGGTGGGCTTTGCCAGATCGAAACCGACAGTCAACAGAGAACTCGCTTCCCTTGCCGAAAAAAAAGGAAGAAGCCCAGGACGGACGAACACAACGAACGAACCAAGCGACCCACTTTTTTTTCTTCCGGTCGTGAATACGAAGATTACAATTATCGTCAGTTTTTCGCGGTCGTCGGAAAAAGCGGGGTGGAAAGAAAGGTCACATAAAACGGGGGGACAAGAGGGAGGAAGAAGGGGAGGGACGGAACTTGTTATGATTTAGATGGGCATGCACCTCATCGACAATCGCCCAGATCCTTTCAAGGTCACCTTTTTTTTTTGCCCGCCCACGAGCCTCAAAAACGGTCGGGTCGATCGGTCGGTCGGTCGGTCGGTCTGTGCATCTCTTGTTCTTTGCTCCTCTTTTGCAGTTTAGTCCAGTAGAGCGACTGGCTTGCCGCACTCCGCGATGGTGAGCGCACGCTTGGGAGGGCGACCTGTCAGCTCTTGCCAACACATCAGCTTTTCTTGCCGACCGGTCGACTTGATTGGTGCGAACCGTCAACACACGGGGATTGCTAATCAAGAGTCCTTGCTAGGCATTTTACATCGAGCCGTGGTACAACATGCTAAAAATCACGGGACTGTGAGGAAGGGTCCTTGAAAGGGGAAAAGAAAAGGAAAATAGAAGACATGCGATTGATATTTCTTCGAAATTGTTGCTCCGCTGGGATCTCGTGTATAACAAAAGTGCAGTGGCAAGCCTGGGAAGAGTATATGATGGGCTTCAGAACCGATCCCGTTTGCCCATTGGCAGCATCACCGAAGATCCGAGGGTCGATGATCCCCAATTTCACCCGAGCTATAACTGCCCTGCTCCTATAACCCTTCAGAAGTATATTTCTGCGTCTTCGACTCAGCAAAGACACATCGTCCACTGATAGCAAGCTAGTTCCAGCTGAACAGAACTCATGACTATGCACCAACAGCCTGCCTTGAAAGCTGCCAATCAAGTAAAGGCGAAGAGTCGACAGCTCAACCAAAGAAAGCCTTCGTGCTGGGATCCGCTTTGAGGATGACCGACAGTACTTGGCTCCACACCTTTTCACCAAACGCCCTTCCCTCTTCGGTCTTCAGCATCGGGCCTGGCTCAAATACTCGATCATTCTTCCACATCTCCCCATGGGTTTCCTCGCCGCGGACCAGGGCTGTGAGGTAGGAATTCGCACCCTGCTCGGCCGTTCGAGAGAAGATGCTGTGCATGAGCCACTGGATGAACCTAATTAAAAAGTTGGTACCCACATTGCGTCCCAGGTCGCTTTTGCACAGGCCTGGGCAGGTAGTGTTGATGATGACTTTGGGCTTGCCATCAGCATCCTGGACGGCAGGTGACGCAGCGAGGTGACGAACTGCGTACTCGAGCACCAGCTTGGACGTGCCGTATTGTGTTGCTCCACCAGCAATCCCGGGAGGGAAATTCTGTTGCGCACTCAGGTCCTCCAGAGGCGTTTCGCTGGCGATAAATGTCTTCATCTGCTCCGGCTTGATTATCCAGGCAGTGCCAGAGGAGACGAACGTGAGGTGGGGCTTGTAGTCTTTATTGTTGCCCGAGTCTGCTGCGGCAATGAGGAGTGGTAAGACAAGAATGCCCAGCAGGAACGTGCTGAGGGTGTTGACTTGGAGCGTCTCCTCCCAACCGTCACTGCTCTGGACATATTTCCCGTTCAACATCCCAGCGTTCAATATTGCGCCGTCGATGGCTGGGAATATGGATTTGAGCGTCTCTGCAAAGTTTCGAACTTCAGCGAATGAGCCCATGTTGAGCACCATGGGAATGATTTCGGTCTTGTCGGCCGCCGCATCTCCCGCACCGGCTTTGACAAAGTCTTCGATCTCCTTCTTTGCGGCCTGACCCTTTGCGTCTGTTCGTGCTGTAATGATGAGTCTGTCGGCGTGAAGCGCCGCAATCTTTTTGGCAGCCTCCAGTCCTAATCCTGACGTGGCGCCTGTCAACAGAATTGTGCGAGAAGCGAAGGACTCGGTCACCGGTTTGGGTGGGTTGAGCTTCTGATCAAGCATACGTTTCAAGCCAAGGATCGACATGGTGAAACTGTTGGGAGGTGGTAGTAGCTTGTCCGCTGCGGTTAAATGGGAGGATTTCTCAATAGCAGAGGGTCCCTAGGCAACTATAATATAGGCAATAGCTACAGTCGATCAACAAATGCTTTCCATCGGACTTGTTGTTCATCCGCAGTACAAGGCTAAGGTGACTGCTGACAATGTCCTGATTGGCGCGTTCGCCGCTTCGTATCGGGATGTAATTAGCAAAGCACTCGCTGATTCGTCGCTTGGTTAGTCCTCCTGGAGGGGAGGAGGATTTGCCGCTCGGAATTCACAGAAATCCGAACTTCCAGGCGGCTGTCTGATCTGCCGTGCTTTTAGTGGATGTAAGATTGTGAGGTCGAAAACGGTTGTAGTGAGCTCTTTCAAAGGGGTTTGCAGAGGGTGCTTTGGTCCTACCTCATTCAACATCCAACCTATTCGCTGATGGCATAAGTCGACACCAGAGAAGAAATGCAGAAACATGTGAGTCAACAAATGACTATTATTCGTTGAGAGCCGCGCGCTTAGAATAGTTGCACGGCGAAGTATTCAAAGCGGAAGCGCAGTACTGCTCCGCCGCACGAACCTTGGTCTGCCGACTCCACTACATTTTACCAAGTCTGTAGAAATCTAGCGAGTCTAGGGAATTTACACGTACAATCCCACTTCCATCAACTCGTCACCCTCCCCTACGATTGTGGACAAAACTTCTCCCATGAGACTTTTCTGGTCGCAGCAGCTGCCATGATCCTAACTGATGCCGACTGCCCCATCCCTACCGTCCACGTTTCTCTTAGCCCCCATCGGTGATCGACACTAAACACCACACAAACCGTGTATCATCCGTACCCTCGGTGTTATCATTCCACAATATGGAAAACCTCAATCTCAATGACCCCCCTCCGCCGTCTGCGTCGCCCCAACGGCCACCACATCCAGCGCAGCACCCCCATCAGCAAAATGCGGTCTTCCCAGGTCCCCCTCCACCCCAAGGCGCGCCTCAATTGCCGCCGCAAATGTTCACCACCGCCGCGCAGCTGTTGGATCTAACGGATAGTGCGTTCTCTCGTCTCATTGCGTTGCCGCAGACAATAGATCTCACATTTTTTTTGTTCTAGAGAAACTCCTCCTCGTCCTGCGCGACGGACGCAAGATCTTTGGTGTACTACGATCATGGGATCAATTTGCGAATCTCGTTCTCACTGACACGAGAGAGCGCTATTTCGTCTCTGTACCCTCATCTGCCTCTACGACCCCTGCGAATTCTCAGTCGCAATCTGAGCAGACACAGCCCACACGCAACCTCTACTGCGACATTCCCCGTGGCACCTTTCTTGTTAGAGGTGAGAATGTCCTTCTTCTAGGTGAAGTGGATCTCGACAAGGATGACGAACCCCCTCCCGGGTACGAAGAAGGGGATATGGAAGAGGTGTTCCGAATACACAAAGAGGCAGAGATGGAAAGGAAGAAGAGAGATCGACTGAAAAGCAAGAGGACGGCGTGGAGAGATCCTGAGGGGAGTGGGGAGGTCTTGTTTTGACGTACTGCGCGAGATATAGTCCATGCCCTGGCAGTGTGCGCAGGGAGGACGTGCTTTAACGCATGCAGGACGAAGACAATACTGGCTTTTACAGCAACGACATCCCCATGATTGCGAGGTTGGAGTGGTGTGACTGACAGGTTTAGTCCTTCGTCTGGCAGGGACCGGAGAGCATTAAAGCTACCAGAGAAGATCTAGCCCATCTGCAGGCCAGCCAGCCAGCCAGCCTCTTGCTATTGTACTTTTTGTGACAACAAAAGCAACTGCACGAAGCAAGGCGCACACAGACCAGGAGCAGAATATTGTGAAATGCTCCTCTTCAATTGATGCAAGGCGGCAACGATATTTTGTTTTGCCCCCACAAACTCTGATATCTTCTCCTCTATCTCTAGCAGCAGCAACAAACAATCAATGTCGTCGCTGATTGTGTCTGTTGGCATGACCATCGCCCCTTTTTTTGAGAGTCACAAAGCACCGGATGAGACATAAGCTCACAAGAACTCTACTAGTATTTTACTCCTATTGACACGATCTGTCAATCTCCCACCAGATCCTCGCCGCTCAATGAACGAATGACATGTCGTCCAGCATAAACGGGTCTTGAACGCAAGACTTCTCGCACTGTTGGATCTGATCGAACTCCAGGCGAATGATGAGACCGCATCGTCTTCTTCACCACGTCCTTTGTTTCGTGCAAGGTTTTCTGACCTGTCCTCCCTTGTATCCCACAGTCTGTGAGCATCCACGGATACCTTCTTTTCACTTTGTTCGATTACACACAGTCTCCGTGGCTGCGTGTTTGCTTCCTCTTGGACTCCTGACATGTCGAATTCCGATTTCCCTCTCTTCCTTTTCAGCTAGAAGGCAATCTGCCCAACCAGTTCAGCACCATCATGGCCTGGGTGATAGCGACCTTTTCTCCAAACCTCATTCCGTCCCAACTGGTTGTCTGCACCGTCATGTTCCACATTCTCAACACTTCTACGTCGTTGTCCTCGGCCACGAACGCAAGGCGCCGATCAAAGTCCCATATCTCCTGGTTTCCCTTGCGACCGCGGATCTCAGTGTGGCCGGACGCAGTGGGGCCGATCCAGAGCATAGGCGTCTTTCTGTGCGACGAGTCTGCCAGGGCCAAGAATTCTTCGAGCGACGCGATGGCAGTCTCCGGGGTCGCAGTGTTCGGAGAGAGCCCGTGGACGATAGCGATCGGGTGATAGTTTGATCGTCCCACGCGAGGGACTATTTGTTTGAACTTTTCAATCGCAAATGATGGGGAGGGTGAGCCGCCGGTCTCGAGGAAGGAATGGGCCGTTCGGCTGCAGAGATAGGGGTGATCGGCGCGGCCTAGATGGTGGCTTGTGAGGTCGTTGCTAGATGTGATGAAGTGCTCGGAGCAGGCTTGAGAGGTGAACTGGTTGTCACAACTGCATTGACGGAGCTTCTCCTTGTCCATGTCCCAGGTCCTAAGGGCTCCGTGAGTCAAGTCTTGTCGCAAGAGGATGCTGAGTCCGTTGTAGATGGCCTGGATGCTGCTATCACCCACAAAGACGATGGCGTCAAAGCGTTCCAGGATCATGCAGATCTCTTCCACCGAGTACCAACGGTAATGACAGTCTAATGTCACGGGTTTTTAGGAAGGGTACGATATATATTTGACGCGGCAGTAATCTCACCTCTTGGAAAGTATGGTGCATCAAACCCGATCCTACCCCCTCCTGACATTGCCTCCAGAAGATCCTTGCGGCGAGGACAGTAGGCCTTAGGAGCGCCATGGAGCGGTGGATCCTGCGACGGAGGCTGGTACAGATCGATGGCACGAATGTTACACTCGGAAGATCCGCGAAAAGAACCAAAGTAACTGGTTCACTTGGACGTCAGGTTTGTGCCCACACAACAGACATTTGGTGGAGACTTGCTTGTTTAGATCCTGAGAGACCACGGGCACTTTGTCGGATTGCTGGATAGGAGTCCAATGGCCAGGTAAGGGCAGGACGTAGTACGTGAGGTACAGGATGAAGCAGAAGTAGACAATGGACAGCAGATGGTACATGACACGCGGGAAGTTCAACTCGTTAAAGTAATCAAGCCCATCTCTGAAGTGCCATTTCAGTCGGGTTAAGAGGGGAGGTCTGAGTGGCTGCAGCGGCAGTTCCTGATCTTCCTTTGCCATTCCGAATCGATTCTTTCCAGGTCACGAAGTGGGAAATGATGAACAGTCAAAGGTGCGAAATGCGCCTAGATGGAGGGCGTTTGATGAAAGCAGAGACCGAGGAGAGATGATGTCGCTGGGGCATTGTGACTGCGTTACTGAACCAAACTCGTCAGAAGGGCTTCCGCATCTGGTGTTAAGTTGGAACAAGGTCTTTGTCAACCTCAGGCATTAACTTTCTCTCACTGCATTCCTTTCAAGTGACTGAGCAGTCGCAGCGACGAGATCTGGTCCCTCATCACTCATTCACTCTCGTTCTTCAAGGTTCCCTAAGCTCGTCATTATAGGAGAACCCTTCCATACCCGACGGTCAACAGCAACGCTCGTCCCATCCTCGTGATGCAGCCAAAGTCTTCTTACCGGTAGCGATAGCGAGAGCCCCCCGGCCTCTACTGTACCTAACCGCAAACCTGAAGAGAGCGAGAAGTCCGAGCAAGACCATACACGGGACGAGGTAGACGGTCACAAAGCTCATACGATCCCAGGAATCGGATTCTGAATCAACAAAAGCTGCTTGAATGAATGGGCAAAGGGATGCCATCAATTCTCGCACCTTTCGTGGTCGAATAGGGATGGAAGCTGCATTACAGTAGTAGGAATGGTATTCAACATATCCAACACATCCAACACATGGGCCTTGACAGCCACGTTAGAATTCTTCACACAGAAGACAGAATGTTTCGCTCCAGCCACAGACTCCGGATCTTGTAAGGCAAGAGAAGGCGAGTCTATATTCGTTCCTGGCTAGTCATAAACGACTGGAGCTTCCTAGGAACAACAAGACCATATCGGGAGCGAGAAAAGCTTCTTCCCACCTCCCACATGTTTTCAGGTGTCGCTTCAAAGATGTCTTCGATTTGAAACACCCAAATGAACCAACGATGCATTGGCCCACGGCACCGTATGAAGCGGGATTGAACCGGGACCATCAATCGAGACCTTGACAAACCAGAAGGAAGAGGCGAGGAACGAGAGCGACAAGCGATGCTCTCGGGCAAAGGTCGAATGACCTTATGTTTTGTAACTGGACATGGTCAAGGCGAATCAAAAAAAAGGATGGGTGCTAGAAAGAAGTTGGATGTTCGGCGGACACTCGGAAATGAAATGGGCGAAACAGCATCGAGCCTTGTCGGAAGGGCTTTGGGAGGCAACCGGAGCAAAGGGAAGGACAGAAAGGCTCGAGGCTGACGGTGGTCCTAAAGGAGGAGAGACGGCCAGCCAGGTCCATGAGTCCGAGATCCAATCAGGGAGGATATTGGGCCCAACTCCACAATCATTATGCTCCCCACAGCCGAGAAGCCCAAGCGGAAGATGAATTGCCAGGGCTGTTGAGCCAGGGCTAAGCCTAGGCCCAGAGCCTAAGCACCACCGCCCACAAGCATTGCCGCAGCACCGCAACATCCACAGAGCACCACCACCTTCGTCCGGGCGGCGGCAACCCTTGTCCCTCTCTGGTTGCTGCTCACACGCACGAGTCACATACACACAATCACCTGTCACCTGCGTCGTCTAGCTTTCTCAATTTTTTTCTCTTTTGCATGCTGTACTATACTGCGCTGCCATTGCCTCTCCCCTCACTTATACACTGACAAGACGTCCCTTGTCCTGGTGCTCGCAGTCGAAGGAGAAACCTCATCCAGCCCACCTTGAGCGACTTTCGTCACTGCCGCACGCTGCCTCGGCACCCCTACAGTGAACCTCCAACGGTCGGAGAACATCGGACCTCGATCCTCCACACGTTCCTGGCTGGTTTTCGAGTCATACTGCTGCACCAAGTCAATTGTTGCTGTCCCTTGATTCATTCATTCAGGTCCTTCGAATTGTTCGTCCCTACCGAAGCAGGCCGCAAGGCCTGAACGTCGCTCAAGATGTCGTGGAAGCCTACTGAGAAGCTCATGCAAACCATTGGACACTATGCCAGCTTTCCGCCCACAGGAGTCAGTCTTCGACAGATGGTTCAGTTTGGAGAGAAGCCTTCTGCTGGTATGTCATTGCAAAGACTCGCGCCCGCTCTCGGGACTGTGGCTGACTCTGCGTATAGGAACTCTGTTTCGTGCGTCACAATTTCTCTCCGAAGAGCTTCCCGTTCGTCTCGCGCACCGTGTAGAAGAGCTGGATAAACTACCCGATGGTCTCAATGACATGCCTTCGATTCAAAAGGTGCGAGACTGGTATGCTCAATCCTTTGAGGAAATCACCACCCTTCCGCGACCTCATTTAGACACCGAAACCCGAGACCGCCTCCTCAATCCGCCCAAGAAGTCCAGTACCAAACTCTCCGCCACCACGCGAAACCCGAGTCTCAAGGACCATGGCAATGGTAACGGCAAGAGTGGGATGAACTCGCGTCGCTATTTCGCAGCTCTGGACGACGGCAAGGAGTGGCCTCCCGTCCTTTCCGAGTACAACCGCAAGTTCGCCCGAACCCTGGAGATCATCAAGAGAAGACACGACCCTGTTGTCACCACTGTGGCCCAGGGCATCAATGAGTGGAAGCGTAAACAGCAACGTATGCAGATCGACTCCTCCATCCAGTCCTTCCTCGATCGGTTCTACATGTCCCGCATTGGCATAAGGATGCTTATTGGGCAACATATTGCTTTGACCGATCAGACCACCAACAGACACCCCAACTATGTTGGCATAATATGCACCAAGACCAACGTTCGGGAATTGGCAGAAGAGGCCATTGAAAATGCCCGTTTTGTGTGCGAGGATCACTATGGCTTATTTGACGCCCCCAAGGTCCAGCTCTTCTGCCCACCCAACCTGACCTTCATGTACGTACCGGGTCACTTGTCGCACATGCTCTTCGAGACCCTCAAGAACTCGCTGCGCGCCGTGGTGGAGACGCATGGGGCCGAAAAGGAGGAGTTCCCTGTAACAAAGGTGATTGTGGCCGAGGGGAAAGAGGATATCACGATCAAAATCAGCGACGAGGGAGGCGGAATCCCACGATCTGCCATTCCACTCGTCTGGACTTACATGTACACTACAGTCGACACGACACCAGAATTGGATCCGGGTTTTAATGCTAGTGACTTCAAGGCGCCGATGGCTGGGTTTGGGTATGGTTTGCCACTGTCGAGATTGTACGCAAGGTATTTTGGTGGAGATTTGAAACTGATTTCCATGGAAGGGTGAGTCTCTTTGCCCCCCCTTGTTCCTGGTTCGAGTGCAGTGGAGCTAACAGGTGCTGCAAAAAGATATGGGACCGACGTCTACCTCCATCTCAATCGACTTTCCTCGTCAGCAGAGCCTTTACAATAACAATTAGCAGTCATGAGGGACAAGGGCGGATCCCAAGGATTGGCGTTGAACAAGAACAATAAGATTGAGTCTGATGGGCCGAGGAGCCCGATCCCCGGCATCAGCAGTGGGCGTCTGGCCGCCGTGCGTTCACGATTGAGGAGTCGGGAGGTGACGGAAAGAAAACAGGTGGGAGATGCTGAGAGCATGATTAACGAGGAGCCCAGTGTGGTACAGCCAGGGGGAGCCAGTCAGTGGCTGGAATGAATTTGGGTTACCATGATGGGAAAGTCGTTGTTGATAGGGGTACCAGACAAAGAAACCAAGTGATTTGTGTTAGTTGCCACGGAAATGGGGTGTGCGCCGTCGCCTGATAACGCCTTTGTTCATGCTGCTGGTATGGCCAGCCTCGTCTCCGTCACTCCCAGTAGTAGATTATACGAGGTATACGGGTGCCTCATCGCAGTAAGCGACGAAAGGACGCCCAATCCAGCAAGGTTCCGCCTACCCCTGACCAAACAGCGGGAACATATTTATTGTTGCCATCAAAGCGGCTTGCTTAACTCGACACCCTTCCTGCTGCTGCTGCTCCAAGTGCTCTTTTCTTCCAGGCCCCCAAGTTTCGGAGACTTGTTCCTTCCGGTATCTCCCGAGGTCGGCATTCTTCGGAATTCAGTTGGTGGGTGGTTGAGCTTCACACAACGATGTCGGAGTTTGCGCAGATGTGGGGTCGGCGACAAGGTCGTACCCGGAATCAGCTTCACCCATGTGTGTATGTGTGTGCTTGTGCGCGCGCACAGCACGTTATGTAGTGTCACATGACAGGGGGGAGCAGCTGCACCAGTGACATACGAGGCAGTTGGAGGTACCAAGTGCAAAGGACAGGGAAAAAGAACTGAGTTGGTGGAAAATTGGTTTATCCTCGTACACGGCACTGGCTTCGTACGCCGTACTCTTTCCTCTTCCGCCAATGGCGAAATCTCCTACCGCAAGCTTGGCAGTCTTGTCCAAGCGAGAGGCTCTGGTTGGTCTGAGATCAACAACATGCCTTGCCATATAAGGAGTTTTAAAACAGAAAGTTGCCTCTGCCTCTGGCTTAGCAGGTTGCTTTGGAAAGTACGTGAGTGCGACAACGTTGTACGTCTTTGCTGGGTGAGCCCGAATGTCCTTCGATTAGCTGTTGCCAGGGCTTGCGAGTGATGAAAAAAAAGTGCGGGCAGGGCCTCCGACGAGATAACCTCCAAGTACATTCCACTGGCAGGATGGCAGCATACTTGAGGATGGTGATGGTGTGGCGTGAATTTGCTGGGACTTTCCCGTTTCTTGTCACCCAGACAACCTCGCTAGTGACTAGTGTCCTAGTGCCAGAGGGGTTGTGAACTGGCCTTGAGTATCGCAAGGGCGACGTGAAGGGAACGAGGCTGAGTGACTTTCTGTCTTACAATCACTTTGAACATTCACGCACCAAACGCACATTTCCACGGGTTGTGTCCGACAGAAAATTCTTTTTCTCTGGGAGAGACTTATAACAAAGGTCTTGGACAATGGGATTTGATTGGAGAGACGACCGTGATCTAGTCTCTATTGACATGCGCCTATTCTAGCTCCGTGTGTTGTGCCACTACCCCCACGACACCCTTGTGTGTTTGGCACAACTCTGCAACCGTTGCCATGTTCCTGTCCGCCGGCGTCCAATGGCCATGAGATGAATTATGAATAGGATCTAAGGTGCCCTCTTTACAATCTTGTCCTCTCCTTCCACCCAACTCTCTTTACCTCGCCACGCTTCTGTTGTTTTTGTTGTTTTTGTCTGTTTTCTTTTTGGGGGGAAGGGTTTGGGGGATATCCATTGCCGTGTCGCGTCGCTTTCTTTGTTGACGTCGTTGCTTCACCATGCTAAGCATTTCTCGAGTTTCTCCTGCGTTGGCTTAGTGGTATGTTTGGTTGGAGGAGGGGTATTCTGTACTTACGCGAGGTAGTTCATAAGGCGCCAGGTACCAAAGTTGACGTTCCAGGTACTATGAATTGATCAGCCAATGTCAACTTGGAGGTGAAGGGGGGAACGAACAGCGAATTCCGGAGCGTACCCACGAGGATACTCATCGAACAACGCCTGTACAAAGTATTCGAAGTACAATCTCGTCGTTTCACCGTGTTCAATGGAAAACCACTGATGACCTTCTCTCACAGGAAGCTCATCTACCAACATATTGTCGGTGACGATGCCAGGAGGCCTGACTGGGTAGGATGGATTAGAATCTTGCAGAGACTGAACTGGCTAGGGGCTCTTTATTTGGTTTAACGAGAAAGACGCAGGTGGAGGAAGCAGGAGGCTGATGCGGATGAGGATGAAGATGAGGACGAGGACGAGGACGAGGATGAGGACGAGGACGAGGACGAGGACGAGGACGAGAATTCAAGGAGAATATACGGAGAAGCAGTCATGAGCAGCCATTAGCAGCCGTCCTGAACCGTCCTCACCCGCCATCAGCCGGGACACGCGAATACTACTGACTACATCACCTGTGTAGGCAGCAGTCCGTGAAGATGGACTCACCTTGTGTGACACTGTGGTGGTTGACTGCCTCACCCTTCCGACAATCCCGTGACTATCCTGGTTGTCAGCCTCGCCAACGCTGAGTCTTTCAGTTTGCTGCTGGCTTTCTTGTGCAACCATCCTGTGGGTTGCTTGCAGCTCTACGCAACAAGAAATATCTGCCTCGGTGTAAGGGGCTATGTTGCTGAAGGGCGGTCTCAAAGAGGGCCAAATCCACGACTACGGCGCTCATACAAGTCACTAATATGTGTCAGTGAGGTTCCAGCATATTCAGTTGACAGACTATGTCAAATCCTGTTGACGGCGAGACGGTGAGGAAACATGCGCCCTGGGAACCGGCTTGTATGGGAATGTCGAGGTACAGTCTATCTTCAGTCAATCATCGCATGTTGCTAAATACTGACGTCCTAGCCATGTCACGTCGCTCTGATCCGGTGTCACTTCCTGGGTCCACAGGCGTGAATCTTCCAAGATTGCCCCGTGTGTGTGTGTGTGTGTGTGTGTGTGTGTGTGTGTGTGTGTGTGTGTGTGTGTGTGTGT